AGACCAGTGAACGCGCGCTTAGGTATGGCTTTGATGTGATTGAAGGCCAGACCCAACGTCTTGAGCCGCTGTAAGCCATCGAACGAACCGCTCGAGTCCTCTATAGTCCACGAAATCTGGTTGTGATTCACATCTAATACTTCTAAAGCCGTTAACAAACGAAAGGCCGAGTCGTCGATGAATGCAATGCTGTTGTGATGGAGTGTTAAGTACTGTAATGAATGCAATCGACTCAACGTGTCTTTAGTGATGGAATGGATCCGATTGTAAGACAAATCCAATTCCCAGAGTCTGCTCGAGAACTCCCAGCCGTCGCCGTCGATGTCTTGGATGTCGTTGTGACTGAGGATCAGTTGGTTCAGTGATGACAACCCGTATAACCAGCCCTTCCTGATGGCCGTCAGGTTGTTGTGATCCAAATGCAGAGATTGGATTCGGTTGAGACCCCAGAAGCAGCCGTCGAACAGGTTTGTCAACTCATTCTTCCGGAGCTTCAGAATCTCCAGCGATTCCAAGCCGTGGAACACCAGCGCCTCCAACGACTCCAATCGGTTTCGACTCAAATCTAACTCTTTAAGAGCCGTGAGTTTGCGGAACAGCTCTTTGGGTATGGAAGCGATGCGATTCTTCGAGAGCCTCAACACTTCCAGTTGAGTCAAGTTGTCGAACGCGTTCTTCTCGATACCAGTGATGCGATTATTGCTTAAATCAATTGTCTTCAGATACGAGGATCGGTTGGCGAACATGTGGTCCGCCACTGATGTCATGCCGGAGAACCTCGTCAGCTGCTCACCAGGGTTTGTCCTCGTGCCGAAGCCTGTGCTCACGAGCAGCGGGTAGTGTGTGTGGCAGTAGTGGTCACTATTGTTATCGTGGTGGCTACTCCTGTACCCGCAAGACCGACACATCACTGCCCAGTGGGTGACAATCGCTTCGCAACGGTTGCCAATGGGTTCCGATGGGTGACAGTGAGTGTCAATGTGTTGAATGGTGTATCACTCGCGAGACAATCAGTGGTTGACAATGGGTTTTGTCACACATTGTGTCACTTATGGAGTCAACAATGCAATCAATGGCCGTTTGTTTACACAACTGGCCATCAATGACGTGCGCGTCCAGTGAGGGGGTGGGAGGCATAGGATTGCAGTCAATTGAGTGACGAAAACATTGCCAACGCTTTGCCATTGAATCTATGGGTGACTCCCATTGGGAGTAAATATTTGTCATTTCATTGAATGGATTAAAATATTTGAATAAATCGTATATTATATGAGTGTTTATGTGAATAGAGTTGACTATCATATGAATCATATGAATGTACGCATAGTGTTAGCGTTGAGTGCAATGAGCGCTCATTAGTGTAATTAGTATTTTGTTAACAATTACGATGAATACGACCCATAAATACCTGTCATTATTATAATTGCCATTCAATTCACTTATTCATGGTTTGTATTGCAAGTAATTATCACTAATAATGAGTGATAGTGCCGCCCGCAGTCCGGCCCCACCGGCGCCCACCACCACCGCGTCGTACGTGTGGTCCACCACCGGGTAGTCCCTCGAGATCTGTGCGATCACGTCATGGTATGGTTAGTGGTTGTGGTTGTAGTCATGCCATGCGTTGGCATTTTAAGACACTTTTGTGGACTCGAGTCGATGCCAGACATCGATACGAATCAATTGGCAGACAATTACTGCCACAACGAGTGCCACAAAGCGGTCACCGATTACCTGATTATGCGATTTGCGCGAAGAATCGGCGTATCTGTTGGCAGCGGTGGTCAGGTGTCTGTGAGTGTGGCCACCGTTGCGGACAATAGTCTTGTGGATTGAGTGGATTAGCCATCGTTTGGTACAATTGGATGCTTTCGTCCAAATCATCACTCAATGGTTCACTCAATGGTTATCACTGTTTGTCGAGAACTGTAAGAATCGGACGAAACTTATCTCAAAAGCAAAGCATTCCTGTAATACAGGGAATACACCGTAAGTGCAGCCCATTTGTAGCCAACATATTGTCACTCGACTGTAGGTTTGCTGTGTTTTCTGTATCATTGAATGTGATCTCAAATGTGTTCACAAACAATGTCTGTGTTATTGGCGTTCAGAGCAAACCCCTCACGTAATTGACAATACAAAGTGAATGCAGTATTTCGCACAATTCCTATCATATTGTATTGAATGTCATAGGAATCTCAGTAGGAATAGGAATACAGCACACAATAGTAATTACTGCTATTTCTCATAGAATAGACTTTGTTATACTCTATTTGAAAGTGTGATTGTAGTGCTTATACACTAATTAGTGTTAACTTTTGTTATGCAATCACTTATAGGCTCCAACAGCACTTAAATTATATAAATAATCTAATCGTTTATAATATTGAAGGCATACTTCGGCTACACAAGAGACACTCAATCACCAGGCAATTCAAACTCAACTTAACAATCTCTCTCTCTCTCAAACTTAAAGATATGCAAACATCATAACAAATAAAAATTAATGAAATTTTCTATACCAAGTCTAATAAAGTCCCGTAATAGTAATATACTGTATAAAACACTGTTATAATTACATAGCATTTTATGGCAATTACTAAGCAGTTTACTGTTAGACAAAAGCAGTTTAAATCGAGGTTTTTTCGTTAAACTAAATGATTAAACAAATACTAATAAATTGAATATAACTTTATTGAAAAACTTAATTCAAGTTAATATACAATATAACAGTTTATTGTGATTGTCGTCGAGGAGTCGCTATTAATAACTTACAACTCGTTATACAGTATTAAACAGTTTTCAATTCATAATAAATATTTCCAAAATGAATATACAGTATAATAAAATAATTACATAATTGTTCAAAAAGTGTTAATACAGTAAAACATGTATTAAGAATCAGATCTAAAATATTATACAAAATAATGATTAAAATCTCATAAATTATAATACATTTGAAGAGCTTTGAAGCCCTTATCGAGAGTTTGGCACTAAATAGCAGACAATAATATAATTTACATTATTTTGAATTTATGGCACTTTTCGCTAAATTCGAGTCAATCATTAAAATACACTAATAAGTAGTTTTTAAATTTAATTCAAACTATTATCGTATCAATTAATAACCAATTGATTAAAAGTTACTACTTTTATGCAATAATTATTTGATGTCTTGAGTAATGAATTTAAATAGAAATGAATGAATAAATGATTAATAAAAATAAAATATAAATAAAATAATTTACAATAAACTTATTGAAAGACTAGTGAATGGACTGACGAGTGGTCGAGGGGTCAGACATCTGTGACAACAGTTAACATGTCGTTCACTGAATACGACTTAATCGGCGAAAATGTCGTACACTTGTCGACACTCTTGGCCTCCGAATCACGTCTTTTTACTTTGCGTTTAGCACTGATTTGATCCATACTTAAGCCTTTGTGGAGAACAGCTCTGGTATCCCGTCGTTGGGAACTACCGTTTGGTGCAAACAATGGCGACAACACCTGATTCTCTTCGTAGTCAACGGTGTCGTCCATCGCGTCGTGACTCTGACGTCTGGCGCTATCACCCGTTCCGCTGTCCTTAGCACTGGACCCAGAGTTCAAAGACACCGTCTCATCGGAATTGATTTGTAGGAACACATTGGAAGTCAAGTCTTTGCTCATCACATGCCTGTGCCTCGACGTCAGACCTCTCATCGAATCCAATTCACTGCTATTCGAGTCGTCCTCATCGGTGCGGTTGTGACCGAAGCTGTCGTTCCTTTTTCTGGTGTTATATATGATTATAACCCAAACGAAAGACGTGAAGACAATGCAAATGCAGACCGCAATCACAATAATGCCAATCGTTTTGCCGTTTTCTTCGAACAGAGTGTTCAATGAAAAGCTCTCTTCGGGTCTGTTGTCATCACTGGAACCGATGGGTTGAGTGATGGCGAGGAAAATGGACTCTTTAGCGGTGCCTAAAATGTTGGACATTTCGCACGAGTACTCGCCCTCATCGGACGCCTTTGTCTTCACTATAATCAACAGTTGGTTGTCTGCTGTGAAGAAATGGCGTTCCGTTGCAATGATGGGACCGCCGTCTTTAGACCACAGGAGAGTGGGTTTAGGACTTCCGGAGGCCATACACTCGATGACAGCAGTCTCGCCCACAATCGCCTCCTTATCACTCATCGGTCGCACAAATGTCGGCACTTCTAATACGTTGAGGAAAGTGCTGGACGTCTGAGAGCCGGCGTCGTTAGTGGCCGTACAGGTGTATAGACCCATATCAGACACCTTCACCTCTACGATGAAGAACACATCGTCGGAGGGCATGACATGCATCCGGCGCTCCATAGCTGCGGGAAAGTTGTCGCCGCCGTCCTTCTGCCACGAGATCTCAGGCATGGGTTGACCGCTGGCCGCGCACTCCAATCGGGCGGTGTTTCCCACTTTGACGGTCACATTGGACGGTGTTTTAGTGAACGACGGCATCACATGAACGTTGATCTTAATCTTATGCGTATAGACTGTCCCGAAGTTGTTGGTAGCGATGCACTGATACCGGCCCTCATTCTCGTCGCGAATGTCACTCAATAACAAGTTTCCCGTATATTCAGTAATATTTCCGTTGCGGACACTGGCAGTGGTCTCGAGGAACAGGTTGCCAACAGATGTGTTCATAATGTGATTGTCTTTACGCCACTGAAAATGCATAGGCATTGGACTACTGGACGCCGCCCGACACGAGAGCGTCATGTTATCGCCCTTCAGAGCGGACAACGGCTTCTCAGCCTTTTGTTTGAAGTCGTCGATGAGGTAAGGCTTGAGATGGTCCTCACAAACAAACTCATCTGAATTGACCACAAGAACTGATTGGTTGAGCAGTCGCTTCGGGTGTTTGCATTTGGCGTCAGTTATGTTCAAATGTCTGCGAATGGAAGTGTTGAGCCAAATGGGCAGCCATTTGAGAGTGCAGTCGCAGATGAGATGAGTGGAGTTAAGTCTGAGTTCTTGCAAGCGATTGAAGTACGAGAAGGACTGGTCGTGTATGGCAGCGATGGGGTTGTCGTGCAAATCGAGAACTTCCAGATTCGTGAGACCAGTGAACGCGCGCTTAGGTATGGCTTTAATGTGATTGAAGGCCAGACCCAACGTCTTGAGCCGCTGTAAGCCATCGAACGAACCGCTCGAGTCCTCTATAGTCCACGAAATCTGGTTGTGAT